TGTGACACGGGTGAGACCGTCCCTCAGGCTCTTCCTCCCAGCCTGCTGGCCCTCAGTGTTCCCAAAGACTCCAGAGAGACACGTGGGGCCTTCACCGGGTTCTCTCCAAGGCAACAGCTGACTTGTGTTGCTGTCTGGGGAGGAAGCGAGACAGGCTGTGGGCCCCAGGGCTGGCAAGGGTCTCAGCACGGGGTCCCTGCTGCAGCCACAGGGGCTGAGGAGTTGAACATTAACCCCTTTGACGAAGGCTCCAGCTAAATAAACACATGTTATCACGTGTCAACAGCAGCTGCCGCCACCAGAAGCACAGAGCGGCCCTGCCTGGACACTGCCGGCCACTGCCAGCATGGTGGTGTCGGCTGCCAGTGCCGCCTGGGTTCATGTCCCGCCCCTTGGCCTCCGGCTCACCGTGTGGCCCAGGCGAGGCGCTGTCCCTCCCTGGGGTCAGTTTGCCTTGCTGTGGCGCTCTCTTCGCTGGCCTCCTGGGATGGCTGGGGCACTATAGGGGCTGGGGGCCTAGGAGGAGGTTGGGGAGCCCGGGCTGGCGCTGGGTCTGATCCTGTGAACCCAGAGAGAAGGCACAGCCTTTGGAATCAGACTCCAGGAAATCAAAGCAAGCATAGTTACTGAGCATGCGCTGTGTGCCAGGCTGGTGCATTTAATCCCCAACGAGGTGGGTGGGGACGAGGCTTGTCACAGACATCTAGCCCAGCGTTTACCATGCTTGCTTGCTGTCTGTGTGTCTGTTCTTTGTAAGGGGAAGGGCTGGCTTGGAGTCACTGCTGTAGCCCCTGTGCCTTTTGAGAGGACAACACCTATTTGGTGCTCAAGGAGAGAAGGTCGTCAAGCGAGCAGGTGTTCCGGAAAGGTCCCTGCGGAATAGGGAAGGAACAGGGATGGAGCGGTGTCCTCCAGTGAGCGGAGGAGGCAATCGCTTGGCTGGCCAAGCGGCATCAGCTAGAGGAAGAAAGAACTGGAATCATTTTCGGTCCGTGTCAACGGTGGGGGCCAGCTCCAGCAGCCCTGCATTTTGAAGTCGGGATGGAGAAGAGATTAAGGCCATTTGGGCCGATGTCAGCTGAGAGGGCAGAGGTCAGAGGCAGAGAGAAGAGGCCCATGAGCATGGGGCTGCCATACACACTCTTGAGATTGCGCATATTAACGCCAGGTGACCAACTGACTTGGGTGCCAGGCCCCATGAAAAGGCTTAACTGGTACTGTCACTTAATCCGTCAACAATCCCAAGGTTAAGTACTAGTATTAGCCCCATTTCACAGGTGAGAAAACTGACATTAAAGAGGGGGAGGTTTTTTGTCAATGCTCACAGCTAGGAAGGGGCAGAAAGACCAAAGGCCCTGCTTGAATCCTGTGTCAGCAGCACGGTCTGGGGTGGGATCAGGCCAGGCCCCCACTGCCAGCCAGGACCCCAGACCGAGTTGTTTTCTGACAAGGCTCAGTCTTTCGCTCACCATCTTACCCCAAGAAGAAAAATGTCGTTTGACTCAAGAGGAGGAAATAAACGCCATTCTGTTTGGTTTAGAGGGGAGTCACCCTGGGAAGGACCCCCTCCAAGCTGCCACAGGCTAGAGGCTTGCTCCTAGTCACTTCCCATCAGCGTCCAGCTCGCCATCCCCAATGCGGCTGGAGTGATGAAATCAAAATGCCCAAACCTGCTGCCCGTGTGTATGTGTGTGTGTGTGTGTGTGTCTGAAACACACCTTCATAGTGGAAAGTGTCCCTCGCTTCACAGGTGTGCTTGTGAAACGTAAATCGACTTTCTGTAACCAGAACCCTGTTTCCCATTCATGTAAATATAGTTCTAAAATCTGTCCCACGACAGAACTACTGGCCCATAGTTTAGGGGATAACACAGGAAACACCCCTGGTCAGATTTGGTCCCTCCTTGGTGCTTCGATTACGCTTGTGTAAGTCACTGTTAAAATAGCAGTGTCAGCAGCCAGCCAGGCTGGAGGAAACCTTGGACTTTTGCTTGTCATCTCGAGGCAACCTCGTGTTTGACTCGCTTTTTCAGATAAAGACAAGTCCACACCCCTCGGGGGCCTGGCAAACACGTGTATGACACCTGGCCTACTTTTCAAGTTCCCTGAGTATATATGACTAACAGGGGCGGGCCACCCACTTATCCGCACAACCACCTTTAGACAAAGTTCTCCTGGCCCCATGTAATTGCATGGAAATGAGGGTAAAAAAGCAGTGATTGCTATTTTTCACCCAACAGAATTTTTAGGACACCAAGACCTCCAGAATTAACCTGGCAAAGGTGGGGCCTCATGACTCCGGCTGGCCCAAGGGACCCTGGGCTCTGTGACCCCCAAAGATGGCAGGGCCTTGGAGCCGGATCTGGGGCTGACGTTTGACTGCCATTCACAAGCTGCGTGGCCTCAGGCAGGCTGACTCACTCACTGAAACACAGTCAGCGAGCTTTGTACTCACCTCACCTGGCACCTCCACAAGGCGCCCCCACCATCCAAAGTAGGGTGTCTCGGATGTCTCTCCGTGTTTGTTCCAACAGGCTCAGTTTCGGTCTGGCTACAGACATGGCTACTTGGTTCCGAGGACTCATGGTGAAGGCTGCCTGATGTCATCTTGGGTGACCTCAGTTCTGTCCTACGTCTTGGTCTCTCAGAGCCAGGACACTCTCCCCCAGACCTTTCGGGGACCTCTTCGTCACTGAAAATGCAGCCCTTCCAAACTCCGAGAGCCCACGCTCTGACCCCAACCTCCTGTCCTCGTGTGCTTGTCTGACTACTGCTTGGCTGTTCACTGACCACAGGAGTGCCTCCAGGCCTCGAGCTCCTCTATTTACTCTGGTCCACTCAGGTCGCAGACTCTTCTTCTCTCCCCTAACCTGTATGCACTCCAGGGCAGTTCAGTCAAGCCCTCTCCTGCCCACCTGAACCCTATATCCTCCAGCCCTTTTTCCTGTGGCCCCCATGGGTGTCTAGACCAACAACCGGTAGCTAGAAGGTGACCTTTAGATAAAGATCTCTGTAACGAATTACACTGTTTCTATGGTCGACTTGCCTTTCCTAATTTCAAATCTCCTTCACGTCCCTCAAGCTTTGGGGCCCCTCATCTGCTCCTCATTCTCAGATGGCCTCGCCTCCTACTTTACAAAATCGAAGCCCATGCTGGAACTGGCTCCCTCACACACCCACCACCTCTCCTGTTACCGAGGGAGCTGGACCTATACTCCTAAGGCCACCCTTCCTTCCCCAGACTCTGATTAACTCCTTCACTTCTCTTCTTGAAACTCATCCCCCTGGAAGCTTCCCATGTCAACGGTTAGACCTGCTTGTTCCTTGTAAGAATCCCCCCTTAAATGAACCTCCCCTCCCAGCCGTCATCCTTTGCTCCTTCACAGCCCATCTCCTCTCCTCAGCCGCCCAAGGCTGTGCTCTCCTGGGTCACGAGGACCAGTAACGAGATTGCACCTGTGTCAGCAGGGCCCGTACGCTCCCTAGGTTATCTCACCTGCTTCTGTGGCTTTAATCACATCCCACAAGGGTGCCTCCCCACTCCAGCACCTGACAAGTAACAGGTGTTCAACAGATACTGAAGAAATACAACCCCACTCCTGCTGCCTGCTCAGGTCTCAGGCGGGGAGACCTACCTGCAGATCGCCTGTCAGCCCTCTGGTGTGCCCAAGCAGACCCACACACGCTCTGCTCCCCCTGAGGGGTTACCCCCCAAAGACAGAAGGCACTGTCCACTGAAACTTAGCAGAAAAGCTCACAAATCTGACAAGCAGAAAATAGGCTCTGGTAACACACTGACATTGTTTTAAAGAACATCACCAAACTCATCACTATGAGCCTGCAGTCCTGTGCTCGACTGTTTCCAACCGCTTCCGTGAACATAAGCTTAATGTCCTGCCACAGCGTGAGTGGCAGAGCTGCGGAGGGGCGGACGCAGCCTGGGTGGGAGACCCCATTCCCAATCCGGCCACCCCCCACACTTGCCCCTTCCTAAGAATCAAAACCCACTTTTCCTCTGGGCCCCATTAGCAAACACAAGCAAAGCCCCAAGTCCTTACATCAGCGGGGGAGGAGGCTGGCGACCTCCTCACCCTCCCTTGCATGCTAGGGTCACACTTACCCTAACCCTGGGGCTACATAAGTCCCTGAGGTCAAGATCAAGGTCGGCAGCTTGCTGATGGTATGCAGGGACAGAACGCTGGCATTTGCGAAACAGAAATCACACAAGGGCTCTGGGGAGCAGGCGGCAAGCAACCTGTTTCTGGTCATTGGAAAGGAGTAACTCGCTTTGGACAGAAAACCTGAGGCTGCACAAGAGGCCCAAGTACTTAGCAGGCAGGCACGCCACCTGCTAGCCTTTCTCCCACTGGGAACCCAAGTTTGGGTGGATATTTCAATGAATCGGGGTCAATGCTTCTCTGTCTGGTCTGCTCCACTCACCCTGACCAACTCGAGTGGACGCAGCTCACCCTGAAGCTTAACTGGCCATGGGGTTGGGTGTCCGCACTGCCTTCTGGGTGCTAGAAAGATGAGACCTGGGGGTGAGCAGCTCACCAGGGTCACTCAGGTTTCCTGACTCCTTCGCTAACCCTATTTCCTCTTTCAGCTAGGTTTTGCTACAGTAACTGGGAGAAAGGAGGACCCACACCAGTTCTGGATGTGCCAGTTTTATCCAGTGAGGGGAAAAAAATCAACTAATCAGGAACCAATAATAACTGGGTTGCAAAAGCCTTCTTGAGTTCAGGACCAAGAGAGTATGTCATTGAAAAGCTGCCTCCCCGTTGAGAGGAGTTCTTACCCCCTATTCTTTTCAACTGAGAGTGGCAACAGGCCTTTTAAACCAGAAGTTAAAAAAAAAGACCAGGGCTCCGAGAACTCACTCACAGATGGAAAAGCTTTAGAAACTTTGATTTTACAAATTCAACTTTCGATGGACACGTGTGGGAGAAAATTACCACTGGGATCCTTTCTTCTCGGATACAGTGAACAGCGGCCAAATTGTTTTAATTTCCGAATTTATTAAAATGATTAACCTCAATACTGCAAGTGCATGTACAAAATATTTGTAAAAAATGTTTTTAATGAAACGTTAAAGAACTTACCTCAAATGCTGAAAAAGTCCTTTTTTCATTCTTTCAGTACAAGGAATACATTGTATCTCAAAAGTATTACAACTCAGCAAAAACAATTTAAAACAGTAGTTTGAAAAATGACTGAAAATTGAATACTTTACATATATTTCTATGATCATTTCCTAATTCTTACAATGCCAAAGTCTTTACCAGTCATTGCATAAGCTCAAGCTGCAAGTTTTATTGAGTGAAAAGTTTTATTGACCTCTTCTGAGTGGTCACCAGTGTGTGGGGCTCGCCCTCCACACAGCTCTGAGGCCCCTAGCTTTAAAAACGGAAATTCAGTTTCCCTGGAAGGCGTCAGCAGTGGTTGCCGAGCGCTTGTGCACACCAGACTCCCGAGGCAGTGACCGCTACCGAGCGGCACTGCTCAGACCCACGGGAAGGTCGGCCTCAAGGGCAAGGCCGCCATCAAGTTAAAACAAACCTTATCAATAAGTTACTGAAATGAAGCTTATAAATGGAGAGAAGTGGGCAATGTGATCTCTTATTACTTTTTTCCTTAAGATTGAAATTCCTGAAATGGTTACTGTTGGTATCCCGAGAACCAGTTCAGGTGTGGTCTCTGACCCTCTACAGGGCACTCCAAACGAAGGTGGGAACAAGAGATGACCCTCTGCTCTCTGGTACTTTCCAGACACAGGGTCTAAGCTTGACTTTCCTTAGTGGCGTGGGTCTCACGAGTCCCGCACAGGGACACCGTGAGGCCTGGACGCTCTGTCTGTAAAGTGCTCCGAGTGCCTGGTACAGACCTTGGGGGCTGCCCTGCTTTGCGAGGTGAGGACTAGACGGAGCAAAGCGGGCGTGTGTGTGCGCGAGGAGTCCACCACGTGCCTCCACACCAATAATACCCTGAGGGATGAAACTGCACCGTAACAAACAAGAATGACGATACAAGACTACAGGAGTCGCTGAGGAACAGAAGGGGAAAATTTCTCAATTTAAAACACTTGCATGAAAACTATGAATTTCTACTTGAAACCCACTGGCATCAGTGTTACGGAACTTAATTTAAAGGCTGTCCCAGGACCTGGAAACGGGCAGGACTCAATTAGCAATTACAGTAAGCACAGGGGTTTTCTCCACTGGACTTCTCGTTACCTGCAGATTCCTTCTAATATTTTCAAACATGGGCTACTTTTCTACAGACACTACACGAATCCCCTAACTCAGCTTTACTGAGGAACACTGTATATCTGCAAGTACATGTACACATCTCCCAGATACAAGAGTCCCACTGGCATCCAACACCTGTTACAGATTTATCTCCCCCAATTCTTTGTCCAATGATTTGTAAAATAATCCAGAGAAATGAACCGATCGGTACTGAACATAAAGTAGTAATCGAAATTTTGCTCATTAAGTTACTTAAAATTAATTTCTCTTCTCAAAGTGCTTCAAAAAAACAAATTAAATCTGACTCTTCTTTTGTTTAATTGATAATATAGTCAAAAACTCTGATATTTTCATACATAAACTAACATAAGCCAAGAACGCCCACTGATGCAGTGCTTAAAACTATATATTTATAATCTCCTATTTTATTGGCATGAATATTTCTAAACTTAAAAACCTTCCTGGTAAGTTCTTTTTAATTTCTTATGACAAAAATTTCTCACAACACACAAATATTTACAACATGTACATTGTTTTCAGTTCTTTACATTGAATTTCAAAGACAACATTTTTATAGGTTACCACAGAACAAAAGCTGTGACTCATGTTTTTTATTTCATAAACTATTATAAGTTAAAGTGAATAGTTTTTTAATATTCCTTGTAGCATTTTACAAGTGCAACAGAAAACTCGAAGACCCAAATTAAGATAGCTGTAGTTCATTAGATAAATGTTGCTTGTTGTCATCACATTGTTCACAGCAATTTTTTGAAAAAATAAGCACCAATCATTCTTGCAAAGAACAATTTTATCTAAAAGGATTGAAAAGTGTTAAATACAAGGTCTTTAATTTACATGACAAGCAATAAATACGCTGGATCGAAACTCATCCTGCACACTGCCACCCTCGTACATGTAACGTACTGAAGTCAGCTGTCACGCATGTAATTGTACTTTTTTTTTTTTTTTTTTAAAGAAACCAATCAGACTCCCAACCGATGGTTTGCTATTTAACCAAGGCCACAAACAGTGTGAAACTGACAAAACTTCAAGGCGGGAACATCTAGCGAGTAAATCAAAAAGCCAAAGATCATTGCTGGTGATATTAGCATATACTAGAAAACCTTAATATGCTGTCACTATGATTTGTTTTAAATTATTTAGTCATATATTAAAGAGCCACTTGATGCTCTTAAGGTTAAAAAAAATTGTGTAGCCACATTGTTTTCGACGTCCTGTGTGGACAGTTGCAATCACTGTACAGTTTGCTTGAGCCTTTAATTTACAACAGGGCTTTTACCTCTAACTCAGAATTGCACGTAAGAAGGCTATTTAAAAAGTACAATAAAAATCTGCACAAATCAGACTTAAGGAGAGTCAGTACGCTGTACACTTTCTACAGTATTATGCTGATAAGTGAAGAAACGAGAAGTGCTGCTGCTAACATGTTTCAGTTGAGGAATAATGGACTGGAATTTTTTTATTTCTTTAAAGTAGTTACCCCGGGCCAAATGAAGACCAAGAGCTTATGCGTTAAGCCTCAAAGACTGATCTTCTCTTCTCCTGGAAGAAATGTCAATATCTATCGAGTCTTTCCCCACTATGAGCCTCAGGCGCTTAGCTGGAGGGAGAGGAATAAAATCATCTTCAAAGTCATCATCATAGTCATCCTCCTCCCCGTCTCCCTCCGAAGAGGACGGGTCATCGGTACTCTCTTCCCCATACTGACTATAGTCATCGACTTCCATGCGCGACTCCAGGAGAGAGAGCGGGTCACTGCAGCACACCCCGTTTTCATGAAGCCCCTCTGCATACGACCCCCTGCTCTCCTCGTCTCGCTTCAGCTGGATTTTCAGTTTCGTAGAGCTACTGCCTGATCCTGAGTTAAACCCATTGTTAAGCTTTGCTACATAGAGATTGTTGTCGTTTTCATGGTCTTTACTTAACTTGATGCTTATTTTTGAAGAATTCATTCCATCATTCTCTTGGTCATTTGTCTTGCTACTGCTATCATGGCGCCTACGGAGAGTCAATTTGGGGATCCCAGAGTTATTTTCCAGGATTAACTGTGCATCATACCTTGTGATTCGCCTCTTCTTTTTACTTTTTGCAGTTCTGAAGCTGTCTTTTGTTTTGAAGCTGTCTGATGTCACCACTGACCCATCGACAGGCGAAGGGGCCCAGTCCACGTAGCTCCCGGGCACACCCTCCGTGCCACTGTGCTCGCCCGGGTCAGGGTGGGACCCTGTCACATCGGGCACCTCACCGGTTTGCCCGGGGCTATCATGCAGCGGAGTGGATTCCTCTGCTTTTGCCAACTGTTTCACAAGTTTTCCTTGTCGTGCCTTCTTTTTTGCAATGCTGCTGTCACTCTTAGGGCACTCGGCTTCCTCCTTTTGTGCACTTTCATGAGCTAGTTCTTCCTCCTCTGTCACAGGAGTAGGCTGCTCGCCACTGTCTGGGCAAGGTTCCGACAAGCCGTTTTTATAGCCATCCGACGTATTTGGTTCAAGCTTGATGTCAGAGGTCTCCTTCAAGTTCACTTTCGTCCGCACGGACCGTCTGGTGGTGTACATGCCGGCGGCAGCCTCCCCCTGTGGGGGCACACCTCGCCCCGAGTTCTGCTTGTGCTCTCTCGCTGCGTGTCTCGTTAAGCACCCACTAGCCACGGCGGCCTGTACTGGTCCCTCCGGCTCCTTTTCTTTTTTAATGGGCAAATTTTTATACAGAACGACTTTAGGCTCTTTAAGTACTAAGTTTCCCATCTCGAGTTTTCGCGAAGCACTCTTCGGCTCCAGCCGTTTGCAGTGATTTCTTAGTTTTATCTTAGAGAGTAAAGGCTTTGCAGGCTTTTTCAGTTTCTTTGGTACCCTGGAATTATTTATATGAGTTAGCTTAGATGAGGTAGAGTTGGAAGAAGCTGGAATTCTTGACAGAGATTGCCTAGTTAATGTTCTGCTCTTGCTGGTCTTTTTCACACCAACTGATTTTCGGCTAGAAGCTGCAAAGGTAAAAAGAAAAAAAAAAAAAAAATGAAAAACAGCCTCTATAGCACAGTCATGTTCAACAAAGCAATGCCCCAGCCAGCTCTCAGCTATGAAACGTTTAGATCATACAAACACACGGCAGACTCCAGTTCGGCTTCTGCCAGCGCATCAGCGCCCCAGACTGGTTTATGTTCTCTTGCTAATTTCTGCCTCTAATTTATGGAGCACCTATTCATTGTTGAGCGATTTGGTGGTTAAAGAGCTCTTGGCACAGCAAGTACCTAGATGTCACTCTGTTTGTCCTTAATCTACCACGACACTTGTCTAAATTGTTTCTTTTCCTGATTTAGTTATTTTACCGCCTAAAAGATTTGAGGTGAAGCTAAGTAAAAATCATAGTTTTCTTTCACAAATTCTTAAATTGTCATTTAAAATGGGTTTCTAGAATCCATTACTCATTAACTCAAAGTAAGCGTATTACTTGACCAGTAACACAGAACAGAAACATATTACTAATGGGCTCGAAGACACAAATTCTGTCACAGTGGTTTCAAACAAGGGGTCCTAAGAACCATCTATTGTTATGCCCAGTAAGATATTCACCTGAAAAGAACTGCACGTTCTAAGCTGTTCCCTCAGCACCGTGAGGCCCCCGTCCCTCCTGTGACTGCCTGGGGCCAACAATCAAACTGAAAAGAGGGAAGAAGCAGCTGCTAGAATTACTCTCAGGACAAAGTGGGATCCGGCTTCCTTCGGACAAGGGTACAGAAAGGCTGCGATCATCCTACTGGGAACAGCCACCTGAGGGCTAAAGGGACAGGTGAGTGGCTTTTCAGAAGGCTCATGTGACTCAAGTTCAGGCTGCTCCCATTGGGGGCCGCTCACCTTGCCACTGACTTGCTGCCATCTTGATGTTTGTTTTTTCTTCTCTGCACTATTTGCACTGATTTTTATAGTGTTTTACATGAGTCAATTTCTCAACTACTTAGTTCTCCCCACATGAAAACCTCTTCCCCATCAAAATACCCCTTTAAATCATTCACTGGGAAGCTGAGATGGCCAAATCATCACCCTCTCTCACCAGAAAACAGGGAGAATAAAACAGTAAACATGGGTAAGCCCAGCACACTGCCCGACACAGGCTGTCGCTTACTACATGACCGAGGGTTGCCAGGACGACTGCTGTGCCTTCTGCACGGCTAAGCAAGTAAGTCACCATCACCATTAGATTCTATGAAGAGGGGCACAAATGAGTAACAAGCATTCCCAAAACATCAAACCGCCAGGAAGAGAAGGCTCTGTACTCAAGAAGACTGGCTCCTAAATGGCCCTGAGGTCTCCACACCCGCAGAATTCCCAGGAATGGGACCCACGGACTGAACCAGGAACGGGCTTATCTGTGTGCTCTGTTATCAAGGCCACTTATTTTCTGAATAGTAGGAGCAGTCAAGGTCAGATGACACTCAATGTGAGAACATCTGATGTACATGAACTGGAATTATATAGAACTTGCTAGAAACTGGTTTTAAAATATAAGGCTCTTCAGGAAATCTTTTGCTAAGGGTGTTCTTTCGGCAGATGTGCTTACTGATGTAAATACACACCGGTGTTCTGTGCTCCGCTTTCTCAGATGGGGCTGTGGTGGTCCTTGGCTCGGCCTGACTCTTCGAGGACCGTTCTATGACCAGGCTCAGTGGTTCTCAACCTTAGTTTTCCTTTCCCTGCCCCCCTCTCACTTCGCACCTGCAATCAGGCCTGCACAATACTCACACACACCTCGTCTTCTCGACAGCAACCCCCCTGAAATCTGGGTCCAGCCCGTCCCTCTAATGAGATGGCCTCTGCCAATCTTGACAGCCTCCTGGTCACCAAACCCTGAGAAGGCTTTTCAGCCCTCACCTCTGCAGAACGTGACATTGCTAACCATCCATTTTCCTGAAAAACCCTCTCGCCTGGGCCATCATGAGGAAGGGCACTCTTCTTCCATCTGCCCCTTAGACCAAATTCCTCGAGCAACCTCAGTCCCCGGTGATAAGCATCCTCTCCCCCATGGCTATGTCCATCCATCTGCAGACAGTTCCCCGACCACTTTCTCTAGCCTGAGACTCTCTCATATTACAGATCCATATCACCAAACGCCCGCTGGCATCTGGACTGCTCTCTGGGGCTGTCTTAGTGAACATGTTTCAACTGAACTCACCAGCAAGCCTATGGCTGCTTCTCCTTTTAAGTTCTCCATCTCGGTCAATACCACCACCACCCACCCAGCTGGCCAAGCAGAAGCTGGGAGGTCATCCTTGATGCTTGCTTTCCATAACTGCCTCATCTCATCAAGCACCTGTGGGGTCCACTCCTGCAATGTCACCATCTCCCTCTCTCCATTCCCAATGCCAGTCTCCTGCCTGAACTATGGCAATAGCTTCTAGCCTTTTCCGGGCTCTCCTACTGCTTCCCCGACATCCCATCCTCCACCCCGGAGCCAGGGTGATTTTCCCAGTATGCCATGCCACCTCTGGGCTTGAAACCTCAATAACCTAATGCCCTAAGAATGAAGTTCAAAATTTTAAATTATGGTCACATTCATTCTTCCTACCTTCTACTCCAGCCACGATAAACTTTGCTTGTTCAAGTCCTACACTCATCCCCACAGCTTCCTTTATAAAATTCCTCTGCTCGGAACAAGCTTCACTTGGCCAACTTCTCACCCTGTTTAAGATTCAGCTTAGGAAACACTTCTCTCAGGGAGGCTGGCATGGCTTTCTCCTATGGGCTACCCTTCTTCTTACGTATCTCATGACACCCCGATTCCCCTCACTTGGGCACTTATTTTAATCCATCAGATGAATCTCATTCGATGGTGATTCTGACTGGGTCCTCCCCCTGCCGCTCCCTCTCCCCCACGGAGTCAGTTAGCTGGCTGCAGGAACCACCGACCAAACACTTCAGCGTGTCTGTGCTCTAAACAGCACATGATAAACTGTGCTTGATGCCAGGCACTGTTTCAACAGAGTTCACTTATGTGCTGATGCGTCAGTGTATTCTCAATTCTCATTTGGTCTGAAAAGCACGAGTTCATCAAAAACCCAGCTAACGGTGCTGATCAAGTCAAGGACCAACAAGACCGACAAGCCGGGCAAGGAAGCGGGAGGAGTGGCTGAGATGGGCATGCAGGAAGCCCAGGGCTCCACACTGTCCCCCACGGTCCTCGGGGTGCTCTGCAATGGCAGCGACAGCAGGCCAAAGGAGGACCACGGCCGCTGCGCCCCACTAATGGAGACTAAGGCTTCTGACGCACATCAGTGGAGGGAAGGTGTGTCCGTGGCCACGCTGGCTTTAGTACTAACACACCACGCGGGACTCTCCTCCCTCGTGGCTAGGACAAATCCCAAATGATTAACCTAGGCAGTAATTTTATGTGGGGATACACATTCTCGGCAATTACTATACAGTAGGTGCTGTGCCAATGGCCAAATGGGCACAATCTCAATCCTAATAAGCATTCTCTGAAGAGCTACTACAATTCAGTGAGAACCAAGTTCATTGGACTAGTGTGCCTGAGATCAGCCGTCTGGTAAGTGGCAGAGACGCGGTTTGAACTGGGGTCTATTGCTCAAGATCCAAAGTTTCTAAGAGCTCTATTACACTGCCCCTAAGGTATCCACAGTTCTTACGGTGCCAGTCCCAACTCATGGGTAAAGGACCCATGGCATGGTCATCACGGTCATTTCAGAGTGTCTTCAAAGTCATAAGGCAGCCTTGCGTGGGGCTTTGAGAATTACAGCCAGATACAGGAGCAGCAGAATGACGTGGAAGCTTCCTGCATGGCAGGGCTGCGTCCATGGCTCTGTACTGCAAAAGCCCCAGAAATGCGGTCAGTGTGAACCGCGGTAACATGAGGACCACACACAGCTGACGCCTTCAGAACTTGAGACTTCAGTTCAAGGAGTTTACCAGGCACAAGTAGCTTCCATCTTACATGACCAATGGACTGGCCATGGCTGCCTGGAGCAGACTTTTGGAAAGGCCTCTGAAGCAGCCTGTAGGCTTAGCAGAAAGGAACATTCCGATCAATGGTGGTATCTGTGACAGGCCAGAGTGGCCAGTCCACTGCCTCTGGGACAGGCGCTCCTTAGTTAAGATAAACTCGTTCTGAGTCTTCTGGGTCTTGCACTGACTTGCGGCATTTGTGGTGACCCATACCCCATAGCACAGCATGGCCTGTGGGTAGTGGCCGGCCCCCAGGGCACAGGGGCCCAAAAAAACCACAATCTTCCAATAATGGCATTGTAGTTCAGGCTTGTGGACTGAATTTGTGGAACTGGGTTTCTTGTTGTCTCCTCTCTCTGGATGCTAGAGCAAACAGTCAAGGTGTGGCTCTCGGGACACCTTTCGAAAAGAATCTGCACAGATAGAAGAAATATATTTTCTTCCGACTAGGCAGAAATGTTTCTTTAAAAATAACAGATATGCTATTCAAAAAAGGTAGTTCCTGTGTCTTCCAGGATAAATATGGGCAGCTACGCGTGGGGAAAGCACTCGAATTTGCCCGCATGTCCGCCCACCTCCCTTGGAGAAAGGCTCAGGCAGCACTGGCTCTGCTACCAGCTGCAGTTTCAAAAGGCTTTCTTTCAAACAGGTAGAAGGGCAGGGTTGAGACACAAACAGAAGAAATACGGCCTGAAAGAAGGCAGAGAGCCTGAACATGGCTGAGTGTGACATGGCCGCGGGGATGGCTGGACTAGGCCTCCAGCTCCTCCAGAGCACTGAGCCATGCCTATCAGCTGTGCCACATGGCCCTCAAAGTTGGTTCCACTAACCCTTGAATTCCTCAAGACAATAATTCTGCAGAAAGGTAAGCTGAATACAGGCAGTGCCCTAACGTCAGCAGCCCCTGGAAAGGGCTCGATTTCTGTTCTGCAATGCTGAGACTATAGCTCAGAGGGTTACATGTTCCCTCTAAACTTCAGAAAATGTCTGCTTTGTCTGTAAAAACCATTAGTCTGCTCTGCATCATTACTTGTGCACTTGTCCTATCCTGGAGCTAAGGTCTGAGCTCCCCGAGGGAGAGGCCCAGGTCTCCTACATCTCTGTAACTCTTCAAGTGCTATAAGGTTTTGAATAAGTATTTGGTTTGTTAATAAATAGCCTGATGGTCACATGGTAGTACACTCAACACCTTTCAAAAAACATTTGTATTCCAACCTTTTAAGGTAACTGGTGTACTGAGTTCAGTATCTAGCCATTAGAAATAGCTAATGCACGAAAACACAAAACACCCCCACGAACGTCACACAGCCACTCAGCGTGGACAGCGACGCGGCTGTCTCCACGTACGGCCGGCAGCACGCCCTTACGTGTTTCTATGTGTACTTTTATACACGGGTTTTACAAGTCTCCAGTTTCACCAAGGAACCAGACTCGGAAAACGAACATTGGTTATGCTGCATTTATTATCAGAACCAACAGTCAACAGTGAATGACGGACTAACTGCTCTTTTTCGTTCAGTTTGGACATATGACCGACCGGGAAGAGATACACAGTGCTGCTTTACACTACAGAGGTTCCGCCTGGCCTCTGACTCCCAGCAGCAGGTAGGTTCAGAATTCACAGCAGTGACATTCGTCATCGTGGGCGACACCCTCCCTTTCCTTCAGGATTTTCTGTAAGGGAGGGGAGCACCCAGTGTTGGGCTGAAAACATCTGAAGGAGAAGAGGCTAAAATAATCGGATCTCAGAGGGGACTTAAGTGCCAAGAAGTATCTGTGGACATTTAGGGTGCCAAACAGGCATACTTCGGGGATCCCCAAGTCAAAACTTTAAAACTTTATTCCTGTCAGAGACAAGTCAGGCTAAAGCGCCTACTACTTGAGTGGAACTAGAGAAAATTGGTGTTACCCAGACGGAAAACAGTAGCAATGAGAATGGTCCCAGGACTTCAAAGCTCCACAAACAGGATGTGCTTTCTTTCGCTCGTTTAGGCTTTCTTCTCTTTTCTCTTTATTCTTCATTCTCTCTTTTTTCAGTTCCATTAGGTCTCGCCCCCACACACAACTGGTATCTTAAAGTTTGCTTCTTTCTCCTTTTCATTTCTCTTGCTACTTTCGGTAGTGGCTAACACATTTCCTAGTATAGCGACATTTAAAATGCTCCTTTATCACAATTCTGAGTCTGGTAACTGGTGGTTTAGCGACCGGGTCAGTTCATTTTGAAAAAGGCAAGTAAGTAGCAAAAAAGCGGAAGCCTTGAAGCCAGAAGCTCTGAGCTTCCCAAGTCCATCATCCATCCTACCAGACTGGCTAGGCGCAGGGACACGTGTGTGCCTGTATGAGTCCACCCAGTCCTCTGTCTTCTCGTGGGACCTAACGACATACTCATAGTGAAACTAACACCTTGCAAATGTTTCTCTCAAACATATGATGACCCTGAACACGTGGTGAAGAATTTAATATCCAGTTATCAACTAGTCAAGAAAAGCAGATAATTCTGTCTAGAATGCCGTATTGAGTCTGGAGGGGGGACACAGACTGCTTTTGTAAGCTAATCATTTCTAGAACCTTGCAGTGCAGCTGAAGGGCATGAGTCCCCAAGTGTCTCTCAATATTTAAAAGATCAAAACTACTGAAGCACGTTTTAGAAAGCAAACTGTGTAAAAACACTGGGAAAAAAAAAAAAGATATGCTTATCAAACCTCCCTTACTTACTTGCATTGTTTTTTTCCTGAGTGGTATCAGCGTCAGTGTTAGAGCTGACAGATTGACTGTCTGAATTTTTGCTGCTGTCACCTAACTTTTTAAGCCTATTTAAACGTTTATCTGTTTCTCTGAGTCCATATTTGCTATTGATAACAGGAGCAGGCGCAGGCAGTCCCACTCTGGATTTAAAAGCACCAGTTCCCCGTCTGAAAGAGAAAACAGCACACATTAAACAAACAGCGTACTCTCTCACTATAACCCCAGCTGCTGAGGGCACTTGGCCACATCACATCAACAGATGTGATGAACCAATGAGGCGTCCATCATCACTGGAAATTTGCCAAGTCTAGGACTCTCAAAAGGAATTATGTATATACAATCAGCACACGAAAAAACTCTAGACAAAACAAATTGTTATGACTATTGTCAATTGTTAATTGCCCATGAGAAACTACTGGACCCTGTAGAATTTCATTACGTAGGTAAAAATAAATAACTAATTCTTCAATTTCAATGCTGGTTGGTGCAATAGTTAGGTCTCAATTACAGCTTAAATAATCCACCTGTTAATCATATTCTAGCTTTTTTCTGCACAATTTAACACTCCATTACTGATTATTGAGAAGGAATTAAAAAAGAAACCAGAGAATTTTCATAAATAAGTCACTACTTAGATAGAACTTAATGTTAAATAGAAACAAATCCTAATTGAAATTCTGTATAAGCTAGACTACTTTAGAGAAAATCTGACTTTTAGAACAATAAAAATTGTTAAATAATTCCTTTAAAGTTATTGAAATAAACACTAAGTGACCATAATTAAGTCAGTAAAATGTTACTGAATAAAAGACATTAAAAGACTGTTTTACTACTGGATGAGAATGATTTCTAACTGCTTTAATTATTTATATTTATAGAAATTCTTCTGAAGTAAGGGTGCTTTTTATACGAGGGACTCCTAAACTTCCTTAATTAATCCAGCTTTGGAAATCTTTGCTTTGTTCACTGTATAAAGGGAAATTTCTACTCAGCTCTATTCAAAAAAGTAAATTATACATTAATGAAGTTAACGAAAGCGCTGCACACTGTCTTTGAGAAGAGACGTCTGTTGGGCCTAAGCGGCCCTCACAGAAGACCTGCCTCTCACTGGACTCAGCTTGTTAAAGAGAAGCCACAGCATAAAAGCTTCAGGAATTGTGGCCAAATTGTGAGTACCCTTCATGAAAATCCATGTAACTGATTTCCTTCAGGATTTTCTCCCCCAAGAAATCAGTTTCACCTCTTGCTCAGGGACAACAACAATTGTACTTTCTGGGCCTTCTCTCTTACCTCTCACTATCAGGGAGCACAGACCTAAACCTAGTGCAGAAACTGTTTTTGGTAAGGAATGTGAGCTTTCTTCACCTTCCCAGAATGGATCTGGAGTTCTACTTTTACTAATGCTTTTGTGAGAACAACAACAAAACACTTATTGTGGGACTGCCTCAATTCTTTTTTTCAAAAGGCGCACTAGAAATCACTGTAAAAACCTCTGGGTAACCTTCACCAAGGCAGGCAACCAGTTATACTCCACTCCGCCCCAAAATGCACTCAGAAAGTAAATGCATAAATCGTAAAGGCTATTCCATTTCATATGCATTAAGAAAGTAATAAATTATTTGCAGATACTCCATGTCTTTTAACCATAGCTTGTAACATTTCTGGTTCATTTCTAGAAAGATGGGCCATACTTACAGTATGCTTAAACACAACATAAATGACTGTGCTGGAATTATTTTCTCTGGATATTAGGGTTTTTTAAGTAAAAGCCTACCATCATCTATCTGCTCCTCTCCTTTCCTTGTTTCTTCTTTTCAGCTGATGACAGTGACACAGGCTCATGCTTGCTGTAACCAGCAAAGCCTCCCTGGGCTATAGATGTCCATCAAGCCAAAGCTGATAGCATTTCCTAAGCCGTGTCCCCAAGGCCCTGAGGGAAGTGTCAACCCTCTGCCAACACGTCAGCTTCCACTCCTTTCACCATAGTCTACACACCTATTTACATCGTTGTTGCTTTTTAAGCAAACAAAGGATGATACTGTACAGTCACTCAGCACCCAGCTGACTTATCATTATATCATGGACAAGTAAATCTGAATTGAACATATATCTTGACAGAACTGTACTTTTGAACATAGAATACTTCATAATGTATTCAAATCACCTCCATCAGTGATGACTTAAACTTGTGGGGCATTTGGGTTTTGCCTGCACCACGAACACTGCAGCCATACTGCACTTGAAACCAAACCCTTACTAACTAGTGTTTGTATTTCCACAGGAAAGGTTCTTCCGTATGGGACTGACTGCTAGGTAAACAGATGGGCTTATTTTTAACCAACGTTGCCAGATTACTTTTCCCAAAAGTTATAGCAATTCACGGCCCTAATTACATTGTGCCTGTTTCTCCATATCTTCACCAGCAGTAAGTATACAGTACCCCTCTTAAATTGTGCCAGTTTGATAGTGAAAATGAACACCTAATTATTGTTTTAATTTCCTTGTTTATGGCCATATCATTTTCTTTGCAGCATCCTCCTTACCTTTCTTTCTATTGGAGTCTGTCTTTTCCTTATGAGCTTACGGGACCTTTCTGTTATTATTATATTAACTTTTTGCCCTATGTGTACATTGTCTCTCCTTCAGTTTATCATTTCTTCGACTTTACTTTTGGCCATTCAAAAATTTTCATGTTCACTGTTTCTTGTCTTAATTCTTATTTTTTAAAAAGATTTTTGTTTTTTATTGGGAATTGGGTGATGGGAACAGCGCTGGGGAATTGGGGGAAGGGGAACAGACAAGTTGCTGTCCTTTTGTAGAACCGGGGCCCTCTGGCGTCTCAAGCCAGCTCTTAACCAACGCGCCACCCGGCCGGCCCTCTTGTCTTAATTCTTTCAAAAGAATTCCACTACCCCAAAGTTAGACATATATTCTCCTAATTTTTTTTCCTGATAGTTTTGTATTTTTATTTTGTTTTATTCTTTTTTTTTTTAAAGATTTTTATTGGGGAATTGGGGGATGGGAACAGCGCTGGGGAATTGGGGGAAAGGGAACAGACAAGCTGCTGTCCTTCTGTTCCTCAGTCTAGTTGTGAAGGACCTTGCTTCACTGGCCCAAGTTGGCACCATCATTGCGCTCTTCCCGGGCGAGGCAGATCAGGCGCCGGCTTTTGGATGGCCACTCACAGCGGCTGCTGGCCGCTCACGGTGGCTGCTGGCTACACACGGTAGCCCATGGCAACCCACTGCAGCAGGGGCTGCAGCCTATGCCGGACGGCGACTCACAGCAGCCCAGCTCCAGGTTGAGCTGTTGTTCAGCATCTTAGCTGTAAAGGGCAGTGTCAATGGGCCCCAAATGTGGGATCCGAACCGGGGCCCTCTGGCGTCCCAAGCCAGCTCCTAACCAACGTGCCACTTTGCCGGCCCATAGTTTTGTATTTTTAAATTTAAATCTTTAACCCATCTGGAATTTATCTTGTATATGGTGTGAGATGGGGGTTTAGCTTTGTTTTCTTGCAGATACATAGTGAATTACAGTTGACCCTTGAACAAGACGAGGGTTTGGGGACCAACTACCCTTGCAGTAGAAAATTCACGAATAACTGAAGTCGGGCCTCTGCATATGCAGATTCTCAACCGTGGATCAAAAATATGTATTCCAACATCATACTTGCCTCCATTTCAGGACTCTATATATGTCCTCTTACCTATTTGTCTATTCTGGGCCAGTTTCATCAAGTTTTGATTACAATTGTTTCATAGTAATTTTTAATATCTGTTAAGGCAAATCTCCCCTAAATTTCTATACTTTAGAAATGTTTCCTTGGCTATATCATCAGACATACTTTTTTTTTAAAGATTTTATTGGGGAATTGGGGGACGGAAACAGCGTTGGGGAGTTGGGGAAGAGGAATAGACAAGGTGCTGTCCTTTTGTTCTTCAGTTTAGTTGTGGAGGACGTTGCTTCACTGGCCCATGTTGTATTATCATTGCGCTCTTCCCGGGTGAGGCAGATCGGTCGCCGGTCTCTGGACGGCTGTTCATGGCGGCTCTTGGCTGCTCACGCTGGCTGCCGGCTACACGCACAGTAGCTTATGGCAGCCCACTGTAGCAGGGGCTGCAGGCTACGCCGTCACCGGCAACTCACGGAAGCCCAGCTCCAGGTCGAGCTGTTGTTCACCATCCTAGCTGTAGAGGGCAGTGTCATTGGCCCTCATGTGAGATCTGAACCAGGGTCCTGCTGCTCAGAGCTGGCGTCCCAAGCCAGCTCTTAACCAGTGTGCCACTAGGCCAGCCCCGCATCAGACTTACTTTTATATGAGCTTCAAAATAATTTGGTCCCGGGCCGGCCGAGTGGCACGTTGATTAAGAGCTGGCTTGGGGGGCCGGCTGAGTGGCGCGATGGTTAAGAACTCGCTTGGGATGCCAGAGGGCCCCAGTTCGGATCCCACATATGAGGGCCAGTGACACTGCCCTCCACAGCTAAG